TGATCTTTTCTTTTACAAACAGGAACATATTGTTTCTCACATCATCGACCGTTGTATTCGCTGGGCAGCTGGCACAGAGATTCCTGATAAGACTATGCATGCTGTTCTCGATGCGTATCACACCACTTGGATGCAACATGGCCCTGCTAAGATCCTATACTCCGATGGGGAAGGAGCACTGAATAACGATACAGCAAAGGCCATCCTTAAATCCAAGGGAACAGAGCTTCGTATCCGAGCGCGTGGCCAACACGCCACGACTATCGAAGCTAGGAATGGCATCCTGCGACACCTCATACACGTGATGGGAGAAGAATTGAATAGATTGAATATTCCTCTGAATTTCACTCGTCTTTTACATGAAGCCCTGTTTGCCAGCAACGCATTTACCTTCTACAACGAAGCTTCTCCGTATAATGCGCTGTATGGCAGACAACCAGCTATGCTTCCCGATTTCCCTGTCTTGGATCACGATCAGTCCGCTGAATCATCAGATCACTCAAGGGAGGAGACAATCAGGAGGGTTAGTCTGGAGGCAATCACGCAGGCCACTGCGGTTGCCAAGACAAACAGGGCCCTCCGTACGAAGACTACTGCTACGGGTGAATTTCATTACAAAGAGGGAGATCTCGTGGACTATCATCGCCCGACCACCACGAAAGACGACTGGGGTGGATGGAGTGGTCCATACCCGGTCATCCGCAACGAACCTGACCGAGGTCAGGTCATCGTGAAGGTCGGCAGTCGCGAAGTGTGAGTACAGTATCCTGACACACGACATACGCTGTACATCGAAGCACTGATGGTCCGCGAGATAGGATCGGACAATACGGCCCTTCGGACAGTATTGGCCTTTATTGCCGGTCTGCCAGCGGGGAAACCCGCCATGACTTTCGGATACCTACCGGCGAAACAGGGCCGGCTGCAGATGACTGCTGCGAGCCGGCTTTCGCCTAAAGTGTACTTGGCTCTTCAGTATCTCATCCGCAACTATTTTCGCATTGAAAACGTGGTTGCTGTACGACTTGCTAAGAGCCTGACTAAGTTGCCTGCTGCACCCTATGCAGACAGCTGCACACTAGTGCACTATGATAACGATGTGACCCCTGGCTTTCATTATTATGAAGCTGATGGCACTGCCTTGAACATCTACGACATCACAGGATCTACACACTCACGCATCATCCAGTGTCTTAAATCCAACAAGCCGCCTGCTGGAGTCGACCGAGACCTCGCTAAGTTTGAGGAACTCGCTGATGGTCCACCACCAAGCGAGCCACCTCCAGCAGCTGCTCCTGAGCAGCCTCCTGTGGAGAATGATGGTCGGCTCCCGACCATCATAGAGGAAACAGAAGAAGATCTGGATGTCTTTGTCTTGGAGTCGTGGTATGCTGAACTGATGGATGACAGAACACTCCTTGAAGCTGACACAGAAGAAGTCATGCATACAGTTCCGACATACATGACGGACTCACAGTGCGTGTTGGTCTCTACGACCTGTGAAGATGTGCAAGGCCACTTGCCGGTGCGGGGTCATCCGCCAGGATGCGACATGGACACTTCTTACTACGTTCCTTCGTACTCCACGGATCCGGACAGCCAATATGATCTGGACTCCGACGAGCACGGGAAGTACATCGAGCTTTGCTTCACAGCAGACATGTCCAAAGTCGTCCTGTCCGAGCAACAACGCCGATTGTTGGATGACAGCAGCGTTACAACTATGCGAGTATATGTTAGTGCTGCCTCCAAACGTGCTGCGGTCGTCAAGGAAGACGATCTACTCACAAAGGCCGACATTCAAGCGAATCCGGTCAAAGTTTCCAAAGCCCTTTACACAGAATTGAAGACTTGGCTTGACAACAAATGCTTCCAGATGACTGACTTGAGCAAAGCGTCTAACATCATGACTTCACGCTACGTATACAAATGGAAGTTTGTCAAGAACGAAAAGGGCGAAATGGAAAGGACGATCAGGTTGCGCTTGGTACTCCTTGGCTTCATGGACCTTGAAGCCTTTGATGTCGAAACCTTCTCTGGCACGGCAAGGAGGTCAAGCCAGAGACTGCTCGCAAGTTCTGCTGCGTGCAACAAAGCTTGGATCATCGCTTCCCTGGACATCAACATGGCTTTCTTGAAGGGACTGACCTATAGCGAGCTCGCCGCGGCAACGGGCGAGAAAGAGCGTGTGGCGTGCTTCACACTACCTCCTGGGTCAGCAGCTGTCCTTCGCACACTGCCAGGCTTTGAGTCATATGACGAATCAAAGCATTGTCTCCGGTGTCTGAAGCCGGGGACGGGCACGAAGGATGCTCCCAGGGCATTCTCGTTGAAGCTCAGGTCCATCACTAGGAGCTTTGGACTACAGCCTACTTCATACGACGAAGAATTCGAGATGAGCTCAAACCTCTTGACAGCCAAACACGTTGATGACATCAATATGACTGGGAAGGAAGATTCTATTGACAAGTATGTCAAATGTGTTGAAGATACGTTTGAAAAGTGCAAACTGAACAAGCACACATACACAAACTGTGCCGTTCGGTACAACAAGACCGATGATGGGAGCGTCACTCTTGATCAGGACGAATACATCAAACAGCTTCGTCCCATCACACATCCAGAACTCACAGGAGCTGATCCTGAGAGCAAAGCGACAAAGACGATTTCTGATATGTTCGTCAGTCTTCGTGGCGCTCTAGCCTATTCGTTGATCACGCAGGTATGGCTGATGGTCTATGTTGTCTCACTACAACGTATCCAGGAACCGACAAACATCCAGGTACGACGACTAAACGCGGTTACCAGGAAATTGCAGGCAGGTCCGAAGAAGATCGTGTATCAAGCTATGACTCCAACAGGAGAGGTCGACCTGCATAGCGATACTGGCTATCGTCGTCTCAACGGAGATGAAGACGACGAAGTCAAAGGCTACGGTATCCGCGGGGCTAACCTGCTGAGGCGTGGCCACACGCAAGCGGGGAAACCCGTCGTGCACCTGGTGGACGCATACTGCAAGTCTCAACGACTGCAGGTGCGTTCGAGCTACTCTGCGGAAACACTGGCAGCAGCCCACAACTTGGAAGACTGCTACCCGACCATTGTAACGCTCCACGAGCTACACTCGGGACCATTGACCACCACACAGTTAAAGAACATATTGGAAATGGGTGGTCTATGTATCAAAGTCACTCTGACTATTGATGCCGAGTCTGTCTTCAAGTCTTTGTCTAGCAAAGATCTGAAGAAGCCCACAGAATGCACTCTGCTTGGGCACATTAGCTGGATCCGCCAGATGATGGAGCGCGGAATTGTTGAAAGCGTCCAATGGTGTGACACGCGGGATATGACTGCCGATGGTCATACCAAAGGTAGTATTGACCGCGCGTTGCTCCTACAGGTAATGGCCGGCCAGCAATCCTTCAAGCACGAGCTGAAGAAACATACTCCGTATGGGGCGG